GCTAATTTTAATTCATATGCCACAATCGACCTTCTCTCTCATGCCACCGAAAGCAAATTGACCACACTGAACTGTAATTGTATTGCTGTCACCAGAATGTGACTTTATGGAGGTGACTCAGTTTTCGTCCTCATCCTCCTGATTCACAGCAGATGAGGTCATGTTTCCTCAATACGCCACAACAAACAACATCAGCTGTCCATTAAATAATCTGTCAGGAGGGACGGCACTGTGAGACAGAGCTAATAGTTTGTCAGGCTGCAGAATTAAAATGTTTTCAGACAATCTGATTCACTGCAGGACTGCAAGGTGGCGCAGTTTTTAATGTTTTGTAAATTGTAATTTTTATTTTTATGCTGGGACCCCAGGAAGACCAGCAACCACTATGTGGGAGCTAATGGGGATCCTAATAAAGAATAAAGTTGGGAGCATTGTCGCCTCGCAGCTAGAAGGTCGTCGGTTCGCGTCCCGGTGAGTCTGCATGTTCTACCCGTGCAGCGTGGGTTCTCTCTGGGTTCTTCAGCTTCCTCCCACACAGTCCAAAAACATGTTGAGGTTAATTGGTGATTCTAAATTGTCCGTAGGTGTGAATGTGAGTGTGCTTGGTTGTCTGTCTCTAAGTGTAGCCCTGTGATAGACTGGTGACCTGTCCAGGTGAACCTGCCTTCACCCTGAGTCAGCTGGGATAGACTCCAGCCCCCCATGACCCTAGTGAGGATTAAGCGGTGTATAGATGATGGATGGATAATAATGGATCATTCGCTGCAGCCTCAACATGTGAAGGTTTTATACGAGACTGTGGATCAAAATTCTACAATATTTACTTTTACTTGTGGTGTCTTCTAAAGAAATCACAGCGTATTAGTGAATTATTAGTGGATGAATAACGAGCAAACAGGTAAAAACTGGAGGGGAAAAGGGCCGTTTTTGACTGTACAATTAGGGAAACAATTACTAAATAGTTTGTTACCAAATGATTTGCACAATAAATACAACAACACTTCTGCCGCTTTCCTAACGGTTCCCAACCAGAAAGTAGGTTTTAAAGCGGTTTAGTCTTTGACTTCATGTTAAAATGTGTCATGAGATAGTTCTGCTTTGTTTTCACGCCACAGGCCAATTCGGCTGCAAATCAAGCAAACAGACCACGACCGCTTGAAAAAGAGGGTTTTAAAGTATGAGTCTCACTGGCAGCTTGGCCTCAGTTGTGGGAAGTTGTGAGAAGATTTACCAGTCACCAAAACAACTGGATGAAACAAACAAAAAATGTCACGTTTCAGTCACTATTTGCATGTTTTCCAATGTTTATGCTCCTTTTTCTGCTGTAGTTTGTGGAACCAGATGTTTATCTTGAGGGGATTTACTTCTAATATAAGTGGAAAGTTAGTTAGTTCAAGCACACTTCAGTTTATTTTTAACCTGGTGGCCTTTAACTGTCACACTAGACGTTGTCATGGTGGCCCACGACGCTCTCCGCTCGCCAACACAGAACTGCCTTAAGTCCAAGTGAACACATCTCATCTTCTGATTTGTTGGTGCAGTTATTTGAAATCTGTCAAATTATGAGCAGCAAATTATTGATTAATGCTAATCATTGACAGATTTTTAAGAAGCCAGAGGAGATTCGAACTCACTCAGCAGCCACATTTTTTTAAATCATTTTCAAGTTGGATAAAGGTGAAAGCTGCCACATCCTGGACTTTAAAAAGGGAACCTTACAGGTGTTTAGAGGGTCTTGTCTTGGTCCTACATCAGTCTTGGTGAACCGCTCTGATCACTGTCGGCATCGATTGCTCTCTTCGCTGTCTCGGTGCAGTTGTTCGTCAGAGGGAAACTATCGTCCGACCCAGCTCGCTCACTTCTGCTTTCAGCGTCCTCTCTTCACATGCAACACACCGGCTGTTTCTTTTGTGTCCTTCTTGCGTCTACTTGACCACAAAAGAAGCTTGTGTCATCTCCACTCGGTTAAAGTGTTAAAATCCACCCACCTGCCATCACTCTGTGCTTGTTCGCTTTGACTCAGCAGCCTGAGAATGAGAGCTTCAAGCAGGGAAACCAGGATGTTTAACTTTGCATTTTTAATTCATTTAAGATGATATGACTTCGTTCTTCTGCATGAAACAGATGAATATGCCTCTGGTGTCAGATTCTGAGCTGATCCTTTACCTATTCATGTGCTGTTCCATCGCCAAACAATTCTCGACTTGTCTCATTAAAGAATCCACCAAAAATAAACCGTTTCCCCCAATCTGATTTTGTAAAAAGCAAAAAATTCAGCAGTTTTCGCCGCAACCGTGAAGCCATGGCTCAGTCACCTGCAGCCAACAGCGACACGACAAAAATTCCTTTACTGCAGGTGATGTTTACGCATAATTCAAAATCTAAGTAGTAAAATATCTGTGTGTGATGATCATTAGGCCGTATTAGTGTCGCTGTAGCCGACACAGGTGGCTGTTGTGTTAACCACAGCAGTGCGTTTATAGCTTTGGTGTACTGCGCTCTTCTCTCCCCCTTTTGTATTGAAGCTTTTGAATTGCCCCTCGGGGGTGAATAAAGTTATTTGAATTGAATTAAAAAAAATGGTCATCTCTGGACAAACACCTGCATTTGCTGTTTTTTCACTCATCGAAAAGGACGCATGTTTCATTTTGGACAAATCTGACACCAGGACGCCCTCGTTGACTCTTTTTAAAGTAAGCCTGCAACGTGGGGCGTTTAGGGGACATCGGTAAATCGTCAATCGATAAGAAAGTATTCAGCAAGTCACATGTTTAGCCTGTGACAAATGAGAAATGTTAATCTGGAGCCCTGTGTTGTACATGTTGGGTCCAGCTTTTAAAATTCTTGTAAAATCAAACTTGTCTTGATTTCTGTCCTTCTAATCAAACTGCACAGATTCAAGTTCTCTCTCCTTCTAGTCGTGGTTGTTCTGTTCCCACAGAGGTGCAGGACTTCATGTAGGAGCAACAAATGACCCCACGGTGAGGAAAAAATGCAACCGGGGCAAAAAAAAAAAACTTCTCGGAATCTGAGTTTCTCTTGACTCAGTGCTGCGTGTGAGGATCGGTTTATTCCTGGAGCTTGAGCAGTTTGTGGGAAGTTCTCCTTAAAGCTGGTTTTGGGATGATTTTGGTTTCATGCTGACGTATATTTTTAATGCGAAATAGTTTACGAATCGTGACCGGTCATTGTTGTGCAAAGCAGTCTGCCCGCCTGAAGGTTTGCTGCTGTCGGTCTGTTTTAAGACACTTCCTGAAACAGCAGAAGGAAGTGATGCTAACTTGAGCCGCAGGCAGTTTCACACACACACACACACACACACACCGCCACTGTGTTCTCTGCTTTTATAACCTCTTTCGCTGTCAGCAGCAGCTCGGTGAGAAGCTGCATCGTCTGTGGTTGAGTCTTGTGGACGAATCATTGTACGAGGCAGCACGTTATTTGAGTTTAGCTTGAGGAAAACATCTTTATGGGAGATTCTTTTTGCTAGCTTTTGACATTTGTGGTTAAATTTGACTCTCTGAACTCCAAGCTACAGTTCCTGGGCGTGTTTTAGTTTCGTTTTTGTTTGTTCTTGTCACATTTTCTTCTCACTTTAGGTTCATTTTTCACTGATAAAGTCCTCCGTGCAGCATGACTATACAGTTATAACACCATAAATCACAGCACAAAGAGTGTAATGTCTTTGATTATTTATTTTAGAAAAATTTTAAAAACCTTAAATTAACACGTCCAACAATCTTCCAAGTGTTCGCAGGTGTTACCAATGCTGGAAAAATCAAACCACGACTAGATATTGAACTATTTATTGTCATTTTTTTTTACACTTTTAGTTATTTTTTATGCTTGAATCACTGAATTCTTGCCACATAACTGTTGATCTCAGCCGACTCTCTCATGGTTTTGTGGTTGTGCGATGGAGTGTTTGTCGTTTTTAACAGAATCTAGTCTTTGGTTTGGTTTTGGCATTTTTAAAAAAATGTAGACTACAGTTATCTTGATGAAAATAACAAAATTTTAAGCCTATGTTTGGCTAATTCTTCTGATAGAACAGCACGCCACACATGATTAGTACAAGGACTGCTAGAAAGGTAATAATATGACGATTATTTCTATTTTTACGGTTTCTTTCTCTTGTAAACGGTTTAATTTTGGTGATTTTTTAAAAAGATAGCATGCCATTTAAACCGACCGGCAGCTTTTAGGGTTCAAAGTCGAGCTTCAGTCAAATGCTCACTGTGTAAAATATCATCTGCTCTGTATCCTAAAGCAAATATGATCATTTAAACATGTAACATATGACAACTACGTGGACTTACCACATTTATAAATGACTTAGAAGATGACAGGAAGCCCACAGAAGCTTTCAGGGTGTGAACAGAGTCCGCAGTAATAATAGAAACTAAATGAATCCAGTTAGAAAATGATAGAAGCGTTCTGTAAACAGACTCTGACAAGTATTGCACTCCAGTTAATTGAAACAATAACCGTGAGTCCGACACGCCGGATCATCAGCTGCAGCCTTTGTGTGATTCGCTAATTGCATTGTTTCCAACTTGCTCGGTTTTTGCAGCAAATATCAGGAAACGAACATCTTAAGCGATATTTACGTCAGAGGTTGTGGTTTTTGCAGACTTTAATAAACGCAGAAAGGCGTGCGGAGAGTGACGAAGCTGAGAGTGAGGGGGAGAAACTCGGCCCGACTCGCTGTGTTTGTGGTTGTGGGCGATGCTCATTTTCATGTGAAAGGGCTACAGCTGCTGCGTCCCTCTAAAGAAATTATTCATGCTTTATTCTAATGTGGATCCCAGAGGGTGCGGAGACAGGAGACACCTCTGTTATTGGCTCAACACGAGGCCCTGTGTGTTTCAGTGCCGTACAAACCGCCCCAAATGTGACGAATGTGATGTTTATTATTAGGAATTACGTGGACAGACCAACATAAACAAGCCAGTAATGAATCACCTTTATTGTTTTCTGTTTCCTGCTTTTTTTTTCAGATTGTGAACTTGTGCTGCTCTCTTTGTGGAAAATCATCCTCACAGACTCTTTTCTGTCGTCCCTCCAGTCAACTGTGAGTAAACATGAAGTCCTCAGAGAAAACTGACGCTCTTGTAATTAGGGCTGCACAATATGTAGTAGTATTACAAATCACGGGATATTTAGAGCATAAAATATGAATATTTATCAAGATATTTGGGAAAGTTTAGCTTGATATATCAAAAGCTTTTCGAGATGATTAACACAGCAACACATTTGAACAAAAATAAAGATAAAAGCATGAATTAATTATCATCTTATGGATTTATTTATACATATTTGAAACTCCAAAGCTCTATTCTTTCAAGAAATATTGGTGTGTTTGTGGTACAGCTTGTCATATCTGCTCAATCGGATATGAAACTTAAACAAAAATAGATTTCAGAAGTATTTCGGCTTAAACGTGTGATCAGAAATGATTCATGCTTCAGCCTATTTTCATATTTCAATCAGATATTATTTGATCTACTTGTTTAATATTGCAGAAATTGAATCAATGTCATGATAACAAATAACAGTTTCAGGGTTTTATCTTTAATAGTTCCTCAGATGTTGTCGTCCAAACCGCCTCGAATTTCAAATGTGCTTAAAAGATTTTATCTGGGAAAGCATTGCCTAAATCAAATAAAATCCCATCATAAATATCAGATTATGTCATCAGAATATATTAGAATCATCTTCCAAACAGACAAGCATGCCAACCCATCCTAAGCAGGTAATAATAAAGTGTTTTTTATTCGTAGTTTGGTTCTATAATTATTAATTATCTTCGTTTTCTGCGATGTGGCAAAGCTCAGACCCGCGCTGCTTCTAACAAACACGTCTGTTCTCTATAATTCTGGTTATTTATTGTGACTGTAATCCAACACTGATTGTGTTTTCCACTCATTTCTCCATATTGTAACATAATAAACCGGTTAGATGACAATGAACATAAAATGTTTTGGCAGTCATTGTTCCTCTAAACTAGCAGTAAACACAAAGAGCAGAGAGGTCAGATTCCTCAGCTGAGCTCAGCAGAGGAACTGTTGATGTTGGTTGGGTTTAAATGCACAGAAAAACAGTGTTGATTTAAAATAAAGCACGACAAAACTGTAAATAATC